CCTGCCGTAGAAATAGATGGCAATCCAGTCAAAGGTAGTTCGTTAGCTGCAAAGCACCCTCCGGAGTTTTTAAACTTCTCCGGTGGGGGGCTTGCACTAGGCCGGTTCCTAAGTGGGCGTCCTTGTACATCTGAGGTACTCCGGTTCAATATGGCTCCGTTCAGCGGGTGGTCTATTGAGGTGCAGCCTAAATAATAAAACTTCGTTATTTTCTTGTTGTCCCGATACAGCCTTGTGCTTGGACGCCCGTTTTGGTATTCGACAGGAGAGATCAACACGCCCCTCCCACGGCTTTTTGGAATTCGGCAGTTCCTTCGTTTGGACCCATGGAGGCGTGAATGGCAAAGACGCGATCGCGTTTCTGGTCGTCGAGTGGATCTTTGGGAGATCGCTTTTTACCAGGACTGTTTTGCATGGCATAGTTGGCGGCCCGCTGTTGTAAGGGGACAATGGATTCGGGCAAGGGGTCGATTAGGATGAGAGCAATGGAGGATTCTTCGGGACTATTTTCCAGTGTCCCCAAGTAATCCGATTGACGAGCTCCAATGTCAATAATCATCGACGTGACATCGGGAGGAAACTGAATGGTGCCCGTCTTCATGTCCATGAGGAAATGGAGTGGAGCTAGTCTCTTAAACAGAGACTCTTGTGATGCTGGGAGTTCCGGGGATGCTGATGATTGTGACAACGAAACTGATGGACTCTTCAACAGAGATCGGGCTTCATTGCTGCCCGCACCAGGCATCAGGGACCGGGAAGCCGTCCACGCCACCAAGAGGAAACAGTGCAGCTTACCTTCCTTGGCCCGAATGTTACTTGTAAAGGTGCTGCTGGTAATGGAATCAGCAGAGAGCTTACGACTACCGTTAGGATGGATTGTCAGGATGATCGTAGTTTGGTGTTGTGTGTCGTGTCAAGTGTTGTTGTGTTGCGAAAAGGTTTTAGAGCGGATAATGGGATAATGTGGAGGATGGGTTGCAGAGGAGGGAGTGTGAGTGCGGTCCAAACTGAGATTAATAGAAAGACCAGGTAGTGGGATAGTAAAAGGGTAGTAAAGCATCGTGAACTCGGACAGCCCAAAGACACATTGGTGCCTACGAAACACAGCTGATGCACTCATTGAGCTACAACAGATTGAAGGGTACTGGAGCCAAGACCGGGCAGCAAAAAGGCATCCTAAGATGGAACCCATTCAGCACCCAAAGATACTCATAAAGATACTCTCCGAAAAGATTCTTTTTGCCAGGAATGACCATCAGGAACACAAAAGTACATGACATTGTAGCGGAAGCGTGCAGTTGTGGATCGAGAACTCAGACAGCCGGAAGACACCCCCAAAGATACTCTCCGAAAAGATACTTTTTGCCATTAATGACCATGAGGAACACAAAAGTACTAGTAGCCCGGCTACTAGTGCAGGGCAGTTTTGCGGGCAACCCAAAGACACTCCCAAAGATACTTCGCACTCCCAAAGATACTTTTTGCCAGGAACACAAACTTGCAGAACCCGTAGTACAAGTAGCTGGTACTGATAGTAGCCGAAGCAGGGTAGTTGTGGAGCGTGAACTCGGACAGCCAAAGACACCCCCAAAGATACTCCCAAAGATATTTTTTTTCAAACATCTGATACTTTTTGCCTCGATGACCATCAACGATCACAGAACTTGCAGAACCCTCCAAGGTACGAGTACTAGTACATGTAGTAGCCGACGCATCGATCGAGGTATCCAACAACCACACCCTTGAAGGCATATCTGGGATTCAGGTAGATGCGGCAAAACATATTTTGATTCAAATATGTAGAGTAAAATATATCTTTAACCCCATATTTACCGCATCTATCCTTATGTGATCGTTTCCTTTACATTCCATCGTTCCTATTAGCTAGAGGAGGTCACAGCCTTGGTCGCAAGAAATGAGGCTCACACCTCTACCGTACTACTCACTGTTTAAAAAGATAACGAAAAGCACCTCTTTGGATAGGTTGGCAGGCCTACTGTCAGCAGGAGTAGCCACAGCTCTTCTGTACCAGTACTTGAGGCTAGCTAGTCTGACCATTCCGAGCGACGCGTCCTTTCCACAGTCAAACCATTTCTAAAAAGATTAGCATGTACCTGGCGAGGTGTTGCCATCCTAGGAGGCTGAACAGCACTCCTAAACAGCAAACAAAATGCTCAGTTAGCAGCAGTAATCGATAAAATGTGGGTTGGATCCATGGGATCAACGTGGTGAGTGTGAGAACAAACTGCCTGCCTTATGTTACTGGTAACCACATGGTATGTGGAACAAGCAAAGATATAGAGAATCTTGGCTGGTACTGGTGAGACACAGCCATACATATGGAACCAGGGAAGCCCATATGGTCCCATATGAAGGTTTTGACCACTGTATCACCCCAGAGGCCATGAGGCGAGCATCTACTCAATCAGGTGACTCAGGAGGATCCAGGAGCCCAGTGTGGCTCAGAGTGCTCAATCCTGCAATTAACACCCCAATTATTTGTGGATGCATGCTTTTTGCTCATTGTCCTAAGAATTGAATGTAGAATTGAATACCATCTCCATAGACCTGTAGCTCCCCATGTCCTTTGCAGTAGATACCTATCATTGTTGAGGCTGAGCAGTGGCATTGAGAGGTAAGCTGATCAGCATTCGCTAGGCTGCCAAGCATCGTGACAGAATAACATCGGTACCAGCTCTAGGAGCTGGAAACTCTGTAAGTAGAGGAGGCCCTGTGGCCGCCTCATCTCTTGTGGATCTACCCTGATCCTTCCAAGAAGTGATAATGGATTAAACAGTCGCAATAGCATCACAGGAGAAGCTATTGCTACAGACGAACAGGCCCAGTGAATCAGAGCTCGAGTCCAAAGTTGGAGATCTCCAAGAAATCCTACCTTCTACTCACACTGATCACACAGCCATTTCTGTTGTTATCGAGGCACCAGTGGATCCGGCAGTCTAATTACCCAAGAACAAGTCTCTGCAAGCCTCTAAAGGTCGAAATCGAGCCGGCTACCAACCTCGAGTTCGCGAAACTCGCCGATTCCGAATCGATTGCCGCTCAACACAGACGTCTTTTTCGAGGACTTTGTGAGGACGTACAGGTCAAGCCATCGGGGAACGAAAAGAGTTAGAGGCAACGGCAGAGGTACACAGCCACGAATCGAGTAGAAGATCCTACCGGTCACGAAGAATCGCCTGGAAGCTTCTACAGAAGTGGTACCGTCACGGAAGTCGATCAGGCCAATCAGATCGCCCGTGCAGCTTCCGAAAAGTCACCAGAAGGTCAAGGAACGACCTGTACCGGTCACGGCACGAACAACGTTAACTCCACGAAGTCACCCGGAACGTCCGTGCAGTTTTGAAGGTCACAAGTGTCCGTGCAGTTTTCGCTGTCTCCACAAGTTCTCGTACCGGTCCGCGCGTTAACTCCACGAAGTCACTCGGAACATCGGAACTGGTTCCACAGGAAGCCCAAGGATCCTACGGAAGCATCCGGATCGATCCAGGAAGTCCCTGGATCACTCAAAGACTTAAGAGTTCACTCCGAAGACTTATACAAGCGCGCAACGATGTTTACGGTCGTTTCCCGTGAATTTCAACTGGATTCATTTTTTGAGGGATTTTCAGCTTTGGCTATCAGTACTTACAAGTACTATAGCTTACCAAAGATGGTAACAAGTCTGAGAAGGAAGAGAGAAGGAAAGAGGATGGCAGCTGCCAATGCTGCCGAGAGCTGCAGTACCCCTCAAGGAGCAACCAGCCACCACCACCATTTCACACATCCTCCTCTGTTGTGCTGATGTTCAGTGGCCACCTCCACCCATGATGGGAACAGCGATCCCCCATCGCATCCCACCTGATGCCAACACACCTCCTCCCACCACCGATGTCTATGCCTTCAAACCTATCCTTTGGTTGGAGATGCAGCAAGCATCTAGGAGGCACAGCACAATCTTCTGTGGAAGCTATTGCTAAGCGCCGAAGTGATTGATGGATCCGCATTTGAGGCACAGCAAGCCGAGTGTCGCCGCTCTCACCAGGCGCATTGAGGAGCGCCACCAGGACCTTGAGACTTCCTTCATCCAACAGATTGAAGAAGTCCATCAATCAGCTTTATGCGAGGGCTCAACAACACATTGGGACTCCATGGAGATCAGCCATAGGTTCTATGAAACGTAGCTTGGCTTCACCAATCCGCCCTGTAGCCCAGGAACAACATGGTGTGAGGAGCAGGAGAAGGCGTTTAACAAGACCCTTGCCGAGCATCAAGGAGGACCCACTGCACTCACTCCCACCACCATGCCTGGAGCACAGCCTGAAGGTGATGATGCTTTGAAACAGGAGGCAGATGGCTTCATTGATGTTGCCACCTACCTCACTGGCAATGGAGTCCACCACTGCCAAGGTCCCTGCCAAGGTTTGCCCAAGGTTCCTCCATGGAGGAGGAAGCATTCAAACACAAACCCCACTCCATACACCCCAGTCACTGGGGCTCCTCCACCCTTACCATCCCTAGGAACACCATCCAACAGACT